CACAGGGCATAACTCTTCTGTTCAGTGTTAGGGTGTATTGAGACGAGTCTCAATGAAAGCAGTGGTCATGTTCGGTGAAAAACTGTCTATAGTGATATGTTTCAATGACACAAGGGCAATAACTCAAGGCTCTGAAACATTGTACACTTTGTGTCTACTAGATATTATAACATTTTAGTATCAATATAAGTTATTTTAGTAAAAAAACTTATTAATACAAGGGAAATAACTAAGATTCTGTATTATTCTGTTATTGTAAGTAAGGAAAGATAACTCACTGTTTTCGGTAGTTCGATCCTGGACTAGTAAAGTATAAACACTGAAAGGAACCTCGGAGAATCTAAAATACCATTTAATATCTGTGACTAGAGTATCTCGCTTTGTCTGTAAACAAAAAACAGTTTTTATTCAGTAAGGTTGGTGTTCGAATAATTGACTGTAAAAATGAACTTGTGTGGGCATATTTTGGGCAAAAAGACTGTTTTTAACTTTTTCACCAGTCACACTAGGGCTGCAACTATTCCTGATCTTATAAATGAATTGTGATTATTATCGCAATAAACAGAATCGAATCTCAACTTCAAGAATCGCTGCAGCCGTTGCCGCCCTAGGCCATACAGTGCCTTCTCCCGTTTCACAATACCTCATGGACTATCGTTTTTTCATGTTGCTATGAGAACTATCCTTCTCTTCAGAAAGAAAAGTTGAACAACAATACTCACCAATCGGAAATGTTTAATACCACAAATGAAGTAAGGATTTTCAGGTCTTTTATTTTCTATGTACACACAATCTGAAATATAGAAATATTATCCAGACTTAAAATCAAGACCATATACCAGTATTTTTTTTTAAATACTTGGAATCAGACATTTTTAAAAAAAAATTACAGATAAGACTCTCCAACTATTGGGAAAAAATAGAGAGAATCAATGAATGAATGAATGCATTTTAATTAAATAAGGTCAAAAAAATTCCCGATTCAATAGATGGAAACAAAGAATGAATGAATGGATGAATAAAACAGATTCAAAAAGAATGTCCAATACATGGAAACAATGAATGAATGAACAAATGAATGAATGAATGAATGAATGAATGAATGAATGAATGAATGAATGAATGAATGAATGAATGAATGACAGAGAACAACAGAACAAGGTAAATCTGAAAAAGACAGCATGCATGGATGGTTCTTGTTAGGATTTGGCTGCTTATATATATGCAGCTATTTAGATAAGGTGAATAATGATCCCGTACCACTATTGATAAGAACTCCATCACACCGGAAAGGCATTCTTACTGAGCTTTATTTGCGACAGAAACTTAGCTACACGTGTGGTAACATCTCCATAGATACAATACCAGTCATAATCAAAGAGCACTGATTTTACTAGAAACGCATCTTGGGAACGCAATATGATCATATTTGTCACAGAATTTGTAATTTTAACAGAAGTTTTCTTCGCGTTTTTTTTTTGCCGGCAACCTTGTACATTTTTAGTCACCATAAGATCTTAGTACCGTCTAACTTGGATATAAAAGNGGTGTGGTCTATATGAAGATAAAAGGAATGCTGTACTAAGAAATTCTAATGCAAAATGATATCATCTATGTGAGATATGATTAATGATTTTCCTGAGTTAAGTGTTAAGCTAGCTATTAAAG